ACAGAAAAAAGGGTAACTTACACGCTTTAACGATCGTGTTTTTCTCGCGTCATTACCGATACGTTTCGTCGGCGTAAAACTCGACGCGGAAACGAAGACGAATTCGCGGTTGACAGGCCACGTGTGGGCAGCTCATTTCGTATTCACGAGGGTTTCGCGAGCGTAGGAAGCGTATCTTCTTCCCGGACCAGCCCTTGTAGCGGGAGAGAACTCGCTGACAAGCCGAAAGGAAACGATCTTCGAGCGGCCTGCGCGCGCAGACAGATGCGAGCCGCAATTAGTCTCCTCGAGACTTGAGTGGCGTTGCAAGGAAAAGAGGAATCTACGCAATTTGCATAATCCTCTCCGTTGTAACACACGAGCTGTACCATAGAACTATTTCCCTCTCTTCATCCGGAGACGTTCCTTCTTCCTTTCCGCTTGAGAAACGCGCTTTTCTTATCTCGAAGTTCTTTTCTTCGGCCCGGTCTTATCCGGCCAATTTGGCGCAATTAAGCGCAAACAATTTGTGAAGTTCCGGCACTTATTTGACGCGTTTATATACCGGCCACTTTTTCACCCACCCCCGTTTTCTGATTCTCCGCAACTTACTTGGATTCTGGAAGTAACGACGGCGGAGTGAGAGACGACGGAGAGAAGAAAGAAAGCGACGGAGATGAAAGAAAGAGGAGGCAGAAGGAGAGTTCCGATCTTTGCGGTGTCCCCTCATTTCCTTGATGAGGAGCCTCTGATGGGTCCTCTTTTTCATTCGATTCGGTAAATAACACAGCCAGCCAGCACCGTCGCCGGCAATTCGACTTCTTGGCCTGCGCGACTCGTCATTATGTCGTCGCGCATTAACGTCATCATGAGGACAAGGGAGAGGGACAGCGGCCGGATAAGAAAAGTCGAAGACTCCGGCACGAACAAGGAATATGCGAAAAGAGAGAGAGAGAGAGAGAGAGAGAGAGAGAGAGAGCAAACGAATGTTGCTTACTCAGGTAGCCAGCGGACCATCTTCTCCTCCCTTTCTTCTGTCTCCTCCCGAGAGACCGTTAATCGCTAAAATGCAACTCGTCGCAGGTGCTCGACGTCTCTCACCCTCCGCCCCGGCTTCTCATTTGATAGAAACTGACCTCAAGCGATAAGTCGAAATCCCCGACTGTGTTGTTGTTATCGATATCGCTAATAGACGGTGAAGGTGAATGTAATCTGTTCCGCTATCGACGATCGGTGATGATGCTTCCGCGTTCGTGAAGAAAATACACGCGGCACAAAAATAAAAACGCTGCTGTACCAGACTCTCTCGTCGTATCACAAGTGTACAAAGTTTTTACAAGGCGCGGCAAGCGTATCTTTCGAGAATAGTACTTGCGGCTTTCATACGATACGATGTCAATCATCATCGGATTGAGATGTCGGAGCGAAATCATCATCGATATAAATGATCTCGTCTGTGTTACGAGAATCACGTGTCTGCTAAACCTAAAGCGATACAAATCATGAGATTTTTCCTTAGGCGAACGATCGCGGCCAATAATCGTGTAAACGAGTATCTTCCTTTCTCTCTTTTCACTCGGCGGAATTGTGATCGTTACAAGATTCGATCAGCTTCGCTTTAGAGAAGATTACGCAGGGATATATATCCGCTCGAAGCGATCCGCAACCACATCGCTGTTTCGAACTCGCGAGTTATTGCGCTGTTAATTTCGCATTAAAAGTTCGAAACGTCCTTCTCAACAATTGTTCGGCGTACTGGAAGATAATTTAGGAAAACGAACGATGTTTAATGTTTCGCGCGATTTTTTTTTTTTTGCAACACAAGTCACCAGTGATTGCGTTTAACAATTTTCATTAAACTGCTAAAAAAATTACTTTGTTTGAACACAAGGTATATATTTTTGTTTAACTCCCGTTAAAAATTGAATACAAGTATATGTGTATATGTGTAAATTATTCAGAAGCAAAAACCGCTCGCACGATGCATCACGCAACAAACAAAACGGAACTTCACATTCGAGCGCATTCGCCGTAAATGTCCGAAGAAGCGAAGAAGCTGCTTCCTTTGGGAGATTATACCGGTGCGCTGGTTTCCGCCGCGGGCCAGAAGTTGGATCTCTCGTTGGCGAGAGAGGCATGAAGGAAATCGCCGCCGTGTATCCTCTCACGAATCCTGGCAGCGTAGAAAATGAGCTGAATTTACGGCCTCTCGCTCGCGCGCGCGCGTGTAAAAGATACGTTCCTCCGGGTCATTCGCGGTAATAATGACGCGAGCAGGTGGAGAGACGAAAAAGGTTATCGAGAAAGCAACGCGCACTGTTCAGCAATTAAATACCAGGATAATTAAATAACAGTCTGGTAATTAAATAATAACCAAACTTTTTTATTTTTTATATTAAATAAAAATCAAAAGATATTATATGTTATAATATCTTAATTTTTTATATTCAATATAAAGAATAAAATTTTTAACGTTTATTACGGAAAAAAAAAATTTGCTATTACATGACCAGCAAAAACAACAAACTTTGTTAAGTCTGAAATTTTGTTTTATCAACAAAACGTTTTGTTGGCACAACAAAAATCTCAATATAAACTTAGCGAATTTTTTTCGCTGGCCTTTGTGGAACAACTAATTTTTTTATCTTCGTTTTAATAATCGACGAACAATCGAGTGTTTAGCGCTCTGTCTGTTAAAGTAACCATTTATTTTTGTCGTGCACATCGAGCTTTGAGCGGCGAATTCAGCGATCGATAAGAGAGAAAGAGACAGAGGACTTTACATTGCTCCACAATCCCGGTACCGCTAGATGCTCGGTTGGACGTACCGAACCCGGAATCGATTCGAGCGGAATCAGTCGCGTCGAAATTGCAGCAAATGGAACGGTGGCTCCGCCAGTCTCCGAGCGGGAGACTCTTCGGTGCACGGAAGACTCATCATCTTCATCATCATTCCGACACACACACACACACTCACGTGAGTCCGTTCCGCGCGCTTCTCCCACGCAAGATCCTCTTCTCCCTCCGGTATTCAGAAATAAATCAGCCGCCTCTCTCGCCGCATTGTTGCACCGTACGAATTGATTTGCATCGGTTCTAGGATCGGATTTATAATGCGATTCGATTCCGCCTGGAGTTGATTTCTTATCCGAGTAGCTCGCCAAGTCCGCGATGGATCGATGATGGCTCATCTCGCGATGCTATATTCCCGTTATATCTTCTGTAAAATAATAAATATAAATTCTCTCTTCTTATAAAGAACTTTTTGTAAAAAATAAAAAACTATTACAAGTCTCTCTACTTTTATTTAATAATAATAATAATTAAAAAAAACTGTTCGACGCGCGAACAGGTGTGCGAGTCGAACGAATTTCCTTTGTAAATCGCTGACTTAATAAATAGTATCTCTAGTGTGTTGCGGCACGCAAAAAACTTCGGCCGACGGTTTTACAGACCGACAATCAGATCGATCGGTGCAACGCTTTATTTGTGAATCGGCAGCTATTCATTTGGGTTCGCGGAAAGGATTGACAAGTGAACATTACGTGCATTAGAAAGGAGGCGTGGACGGCTGGGTTCTATCTCGCAGGATGCGTCGCTCGATGAAGGATAATACCAGCTCCCGAAGTGAGGCCCAGACACGCGCGTGTGGCGAACTCCGGGATGCATATCGAAGAAGCTAAAAAAAACAAAAAGACATTTCTCTCGCGAGAGAGCGAATCGCTGTTTCTTTCACTGCGGGGAGGAGATCCCTTCCCCCCTCCGTTGATCCCAAAGTAAATTAATGTCTTCAAGACGCTCTTTCTCTTTCGAAGTTGTTAATAATAGCGTCGCGTCGAGGAAATTGAGCGGCTTATTTGAGAATTAATTGCGACTTTACGAACTAGTTTGTATCCGTCCATTTGATATTAGCGAACGGGACTCTGTGGGTTTCACCTGCAGTTCGCTGGAGAGATAATAAAATAGATCGTGACGGCGATTATTACTATCATTCGCGCGAAAGTGTTCGGATTGACTTTGACTGGGGGGGAGGAAAGGGTGAATAAATTAAAAATAATTTGTACGTGTAGTTTTTTTGTGAAACAAAAACTTTTGGTAAAATTAATACGCACAATACAATTGCTGTAATTTTTAACTTTTGTGCGCGCAGCAATATGCGCGGTACAATGTTGCTGCGATAACGTTTGAGCAACAATAGACGCGTCGCATGATTCATATATCGAATGGAGAAGGCTTTAAGATTCGAAAGGGCGCCGCTTCGTACGTGCATTCACAAGTGAATTAGCTGCATCATTGTCTGTGCGAACGGACGGGAGGAAAAAAAGAAACACAAAATAACGACAGAATGTAAATATGATAAAAATTCGCGCGTCATCCGGTTGACGAGAATGTTTCTTCTTTCAAGGTGTCGCGATGTGGCGATGTGACGACGGAATCCCTTATATGCGCGATTCCGCTGAATCATTCTTCGATATCGAACGCGTTAAGCCGCTTATCGATCGGTTCGATGTTATACAAAAATTCTCTCACTCTCGACACTTTCAGAGGATTTATATTTGCACATAGCGCACAAACACAACGAATGAGAGATTTATAATAATTGAATAATCCCGCTCTGAGGGTTTCTTCTTAAATAACTCGTCTTCCCTTTTTCACTTGTTTTGTTTTTTTTTGTTTTTGTTTTGCATACCGACATTCATCTCATAACGTTAAAAAAATTATCTGACAAGTTTTTATGTTAATATTTTTTATAGCAATATTGTGTTGATATATATTTTATAACAATATAATTATTGATATTTTTTTTCTAATATCGTACGACGTAGAGTTTTTAATAACTTTGTTACACTGATTTAAATTGATCTTGAAAAGTTTGCAATAATTTTTTTATTTGGAAATACGTTGACTCTTTTCTTAAGAGGTGTATATGAATTTTTTAATTATCAAGTTTTCTTTTTTTTTTCGTTTATTATTACGCATGTTTACTACTATATGTTTTCGACGATTCTCTTTGCTTCCAGGATTTACAGGCGTTATGTGCGAGATCGACATAGACGAATGCGCGTCCGCGCCATGCTTGAACGGCGGCGTTTGCAGCGATCTGATCAATTCGTTCAAGTGCACGTGCGCCGACGGATTTGCCGGTTCCCATTGTCAAATCAACGTCGACGACTGCGCGTCCTCGCCGTGCAAGAACGGCGGAACTTGTCAAGACGGGATCGCCCGCTACACCTGCGAATGTCCACCTGGTTTTACAGGGCCATCATGCGAAACGAATATCAACGACTGCGCTTCCAATCCGTGCCACTCCGGAACATGCATCGACGGAGAGAATAGCTTCACGTGCAACTGCTTCTCGGGTTTCACCGGAAAATTGTGCCAGACGCAGATCGACGAGTGCGAGAGCAATCCGTGCCAGTTTGGAGGTAGATGCGAGGATCGTATCAATGGCTACCAGTGCATTTGCCGACCGGGAACGTCCGGCACCAACTGCGAGGTCAACGTCAACGAGTGTTACAGCAACCCCTGCCGAAACGGAGCCAGATGCATCGACGGCATTAACAGGTAAGGTTTGAGGAAACGAATTGAAACGATATTAAAAAAAAATAAAATGCGTTTTTTTTTTTTTTGTATTGTATATATAAAAAAGAAGAACCTACTCATAAAAAAATTGTTTTGGATTGAGAATTCGGCAAAATTGTTAATTCAGACGTGTGCGGTTTGAAGAACACAGTGCGGAACACACAATCTGGCAAAATCCTCGATTGTGCTTTACGTGTTTCGTTACGCTCTTTATTTTCGTTCTCAGTGGATATGATATCCTGTTTCCCAGGTACTCCTGCGAGTGCGAGCCCGGTTTCACCGGACAGCACTGCGAGACCGACATAAACGAGTGCGCGAGCAATCCGTGCGCGAACGGCGGTCGCTGCATCGACATAATCAATGGCTACAGATGCGAGTGCCCGCGCGGTTATTACGACGCCAGGTGTCTGAGCGACATAAACGAGTGCGCGAGCAATCCGTGTCTGAACGGCGGCTCTTGCGACGACGGGGTGAACCAGTTCATTTGTCGTTGCCTGCCCGGTTACGGCGGCAAGCGATGCGAAGTGGACATAGACGAGTGCGGCTCGAACCCCTGCCAGCACGGAGGCACGTGTATCGACCACCTGAACGGGTACAGCTGCAAGTGCCTGCCCGGTTACACCAGCACCAATTGCGAGATCAACGTCGACGACTGCGCCAATAATCCCTGCCAAAACGGCGGATCCTGCATCGACCTTGTCAACGACTACAAATGCGTATGCGAGTTGCCCCACACCGGCAGAAATTGCGAGGACAAACTGGATCCTTGCTCGCCGAACAAGTATGATTTTTTTTTTTTTTTTTTTTTAATATAAGCTCGCATATATTTACAATTTATTTAATATACTACTTGAAGTATTTCTTCCATTATTACACGCTGCGCAACTACACTCGCGCGAAATTATTGTCGTACTTCAGCTTGTCTCGGTTTTTTTTCTTTAAGCATATTACAGTTTTGCTCGATAATAACATCCGCTTCTTTAAGAGCTTCGTTTTAATTTTATATCCGACGATAAAGCGTGCCCGTATGGGATGATCCACATGATAGAACGACTTTGCGATGTTGCTGTGTCACTTTTCAGGTGCCATCACGGAGCGAAGTGCTCGCCGTCGTCGAATTTCCTCGAGTTCGCATGCACGTGTACAGTCGGCTACACAGGCAGACTGTGCGACGAGGACGTGAACGAATGTGTGGTGACGTCGCCTTGTAGAAATGGTGCCACTTGCGTGAACACAAACGGTTCGTACATTTGCATGTGCGCGAAGGGCTACGAGGGCCGTGATTGCATCATCAATACCGATGACTGTGCATCATGTAAGTATCCAGCCGCCGTGCCGGCCGTTTCCTCGTCTCTTATTTGCTACAGATGCGAATCCTCGCTTTCGTTAAAGAGAGTCTCGACGCGAATTTACGCGAGAGCGTCAGCAGACGCGTTTTATCGCGCGACAACACGGATTAAATAAAAAACGCGTTTTAAATCAATGTTGAGCAACATTTGAAGGGTCTTCTTTTCTTTTCTTACAGTTCCTTGTCAGAACGGCGGCACTTGTCTGGATGCTGTCGGCGATTACACGTGTTTGTGCGTGGACGGTTTCAGCGGCAAGCATTGCGAGATCGACATTGACGAGTGTCAGTCGCAACCATGTCTAAACGGAGCCAGTTGCAGGGAATACGTCAACTCGTACACGTGCCAGTGTCTTCTCGGCTTTTCCGGAATCAATTGTCAGACCAACGACGAGGATTGCGCCGAGAGCAGCTGCATGAACGGCGGCAAATGCATAGACGGCATCAACAACTACACGTGCATCTGCAAACCCGGCTACACCGGCTCCAACTGTCAGTATCGCATCAACGAGTGCGACAGTTCGCCTTGCAAGAATGGCGCCACTTGTCTCGAACAAGGAACGCATTACGCGTGCCACTGTCCCTACGGTTACACAGGTCAGCGTTGCGACGAGTACGTCGACTGGTGCGCCGACAATCCGTGCGAGAATCAGGCAACGTGCGTGCAGCACAAGAACAAATATCACTGCAACTGCTCGCCCGGATGGACCGGCAAGGTATGCGATGTGGAAATGGTCTCGTGTAAAAATGCCGCCATTCGCAAGGGCGTGCCGGAAAAGAATCTCTGCAACAACGGCACTTGCGAGAACATAGGCAACAGCCATCTCTGCCAATGTCTGGAAGGCTATACCGGTTCTTACTGTCAGATAGAGATAAACGAGTGCGAATCCGCGCCGTGCCAGAATGGCGCAACTTGCAAAGACCTCGTCGGTTCATATCAATGCAATTGCGTCGCAGGTTTTCAGGGTCAAAACTGCGAGCTTAATATCGACGATTGCCACCCAAATCCCTGCCAGAATGGCGGTATATGCCACGATCTGATCAATACATTTTACTGCTCGTGTCCGCCCGGCACTCTCGGCTTCATATGCGAAGTTAACGTAGACGATTGCACACCCAGCTCGTGCCACAACAACGGCACGTGCATCGACAAAGTGGGCGGCTTTGAATGCAAATGCCCTCCCGGTTTTGTTGGGCCGAGATGCGAGGGCGACATTAACGAGTGTCTGTCGAATCCGTGTACCTCACCTGGCACTTTGGACTGCGTGCAACTAGTCAACAACTATCACTGCAATTGTAAATCTGGATACATGGGTCGTCACTGCGAGCACAAAGTCAATTTCTGCGACAGCTCACCTTGCCAGAATGGTGGCGTGTGCACCGCCAAGCACGACGGACACACATGTCTCTGTCCCAGCGATTATCACGGTGACAATTGCGAGTTCGTCGGCTCGTACTGCGACACCGCGCCGTGCTTGCACGGCGGTACATGTCGCATCATCAACAACGACGATGGTTATCGGTGTTACTGTCCGCCAGGCACAACTGGCAAGAACTGTGAAATCGACTTTCTCGACGAATGCGCGAGCAATCCGTGTCAGCAAATTAATGCTGTTTGCGAGAACTTGTACGGTGATTACGTCTGTTACTGTCCCGCCAAATGGACTGGCAAGAATTGCGAAATATACGACCCGAATTATCTTGGCGGCATATACGGTCGACCCAACTTCAACGTGCCTAAGGTCGCGAGCGAGTCAGATTTGGAACGCGAACGAAGAAAGTGTCGCGAGAACAACTGCGAGAAGAAGGCTCGTAATTTCATATGTAATGAGGAGTGTAATAATTACGCGTGCAACTTTGACGGCAATGATTGTACACTGGGCATTAATAATCCGTGGCACAACTGCACCGCAAAAATCAGTTGCTGGAATGTGTTTGGAAATGGCATTTGCGACGAGGCCTGCAACAATCCGCAATGTCTCTTCGACGGTAGAGATTGCGAGAAGAAACTTCCTCCTTGCAAGTAAGTATTTAGTTTTATTATATTACGTAAATTTATATTCAACTATATTCAACATTGAATTTTTATTTATTACGCTATTTTGTTTTGCAGTCCGATCTATAACGCGTACTGCGAAAAACATTACGCCAACGGCCATTGTGATTACGGTTGCAACAATGAGGAATGCAACTGGGATGGTCTCGACTGCGAGAGGGAACCGCCGTCGATAGCCGAAGGTGTCATCTCCGTGGTCGTGCGAATGGAGATAAAAGATTTCCGTGATCACCTCGTGGGGTTCTTGCGTAGAGTGGGACACGAGCTAAGAACAACGTTACGAGTGAGGAAGGATGAATACGGCAACGACATGATATATCCTTGGAAACACGAAAAAGGAGAACCTATTCCGACTCATTTCCGATCGCCCAAGATCGATAAGGAGAACTTGCCTGGCTCCATTGCCTTTCTCGAAATCGACAATCGCAAATGCGAGATGATGCAAGGCGCGGTCTGCTTCCCGTCGGCAAACGAAGCGGCCGAATATTTGGCTGCCACAGCATCGAGACACACGTCAACGTGGGACTTCCCTATTGAACAAGTGCGAGGCGTCATGGGGTCTCAGAGTCCAGAATATCCGGACAGTCCGACGAATTACAAATACGTTTTCATCGGTGTTGTTATTGTGGTGCTCGGCGGATTGTTGGTAGGCGTTTTGGTAACCGCACAGAGAAAGCGTGCGGTAGGAGTGACATGGTTTCCCGAAGGATTTTTGAGAACCAACAGTGGTAGCGGTCAGCGACGCCGTTCGCGTCGTCGCGGTCCAGACGGTCAGGAGATGCGCAATTTGAACAAACAGCCGTCTGTGAACTGTATGGACATGGACGTAGCGAACGGCCGAGTGCAGTCGCAGTGGTCTGATGACGAGTCCGATTTACCACCGTCAAAACGGATGCGCGCGATCGAGCCTGGTTACGCGAGTGATCACACCGCTATCACGGATTACGAGGAAACTGAGCCGCGCATGTGGACGCAGCAACATCTAGATGCGGCCGAGATACGACGACCGGACGCGGGCGGCGTGTTGACGCCACCCAGTCTGGAACACGACCAAGATGTGGACGCGCGTGGTCCTTGCGGCATGACACCATTAATGGTAGCAGCTGTACGTGGCGGCGGACTCGACACCGGTGAGGAGGAGGATGAGAGCGACGGTACCGCGGCGGTGATCGCCGATTTGGTTGCTCAGGGTGCAGATTTGAACGCCACTACAGATAAGAGCGGCGAAACATCGCTGCATTTAGCTGCGCGTTACGCTCGCTCAGACGCAGCCAAGAGACTGCTGGACGCGGGCGCTGACGCAAACTCGCAAGACAATACCGGTCGCACGCCGTTACACTCTGCGGTCGCAGCCGATGCTATGGGAGTATTCCAGATCTTGCTGCGTAATCGCGTTACGAATTTGAATGCGCGTATGCACGATGGCACTACGCCGCTAATACTGGCCGCACGTTTGGCTATCGAAGGTATGGTAGAAGATCTCATCAACGCTGACGCGGACATAAACGCTGCCGATAACAGCGGCAAGACCGCGCTGCACTGGGCTGCGGCGGTTAATAACGTCGACGCCGTGAACATACTGCTGGTGCATGGCGCAAACAGAGACGCTCAAGACGACAAGGACGAAACACCGCTGTTCCTTGCTGCTCGCGAGGGCAGCTTTGAAGCGTGCAAAGCGCTACTGGACACATTTGCCAACAGGGAGATCACCGATCACATGGATCGGTTACCGCGCGACGTTGCTAGCGAGAGACTACATCACGATATAGTGAGACTACTCGACGAGCACGTGCCAAGGTCGCCGCAAATGGTCACAGTTATTCCCAATGGTCCTCTCATGGGTAAGAGAATCTTTATATTTTTTTATAATATATTACAAAAATATATAACTTATTTCTAGATCAATCGATGTATTAGCATTTGTGTAACATGATTATTTTCTCTCTTTAGGATCTCCAAATCATCCACAATTAATCACACATCCAACTGTGATTGGTTCAGCGCCGAAGCAGACCAAATCCAAGAAGCGGCCGAAAGCGAGTGGCGCGGGAAACCCAAACAGTCCGGAATCAGAAAGCGGCGGTGCGGTAGTGATGGTAAGGCGAAAGCCATCGTTGAAAAAACCGACGACAAAACGCGGCGCGCAGCCCCCAAACCAGGAGATTCCGCAAGGCGCGGAAGGCGCCGAAGGCAACCTGCCGACGAGTCCGTACGACAGCGCGAGCCTTTACAGCAACGCCTTGCCATTGGTAGCTCACACAACGACGGCGAAGCAACCACCACCTTACGAAGATTGTATTAAGAGTCAGTCGATGAGTCTGCAACAGCTCGGTTTAGATACATTCGCGACCAATTACGGGCTGCCGTTTCACGAGCAGCTCTTAGCGTCGCATCAACGACAGCAGCAAGGCATAGTTAACACACTGTCGCCGCCGTACAGCAATCAGTCACCGCCGCATTCGGTGCAATCCAACATGACTCTCTCACCGCAGGCGAGTTACATGGGCTCGCCGTCGCCGGCGAAAAGCCGACCGTCGCTGCCCACCTCGCCGACTCATATTGCCGCTTTACGGCAGGCGACACATCAGAAACACGGCAGCATGCCGCCCATGGGCTTTGACTTCGACAATTTGCCTTACTCTTCCAGTCAGCCGCAACAACAACAGCAAATGCAGCAGACACAACCGCAGCAACAGCAGCCGCAGCAACAACAACAGCAGCAGCAGCAGAGCACGCAGCAGCAGCAGCAGCAACAGCAGCAACAACAACAACAACAACAACAACAGACGCAACAATATTATCAGTACTTGACACCGCCGTCCCATCATTCCGGCCCCGATGTCACACCGCAGCATCTCATGCAGGCACCCGAAAGCTTTCCAACGCCATCGCCTGATAGCCCGGGCCATTGGTCTTCGAGTTCGCCGCACTCGAACAGTGACTGGTCCGAGTGTATAGCCTCACCACCGAATGCCTACGGCGCCGGTGGCGGTGCTCACCAAAGTAACAAGGGCTCCGAGGCGATCTACATATGATACCAACAGCGGTGCTCACTTCCTCGCGCGAGTAAGTCATAAATTGTGAAAACGTGAAGAAAAGAGAACTGCTAACTCTGTGATTAGCTCGTTGAGTTTGAGCCTCGGACGTTCGGGAGGAACGATGATGGCGAAGACAACGACGAAGGGCTCTTCTATATAATAAAATCGATGGCAAGAAGAGGTATTTTTTTTTATCTTTCGTTTGTCGGAAGAGCTATACTATAGAAATTTGTTTTATATTAATGCGTATCGATGTTGAGCACTGAAGATTGAACAACTAAGTTGTAGTTACAATTATAAGTGCGTAATTACACACAATATTTACACATATAATTATATATAGAAATCATATGTTTTTCTATATAAAATTATTGGATAGACAATGATCTATCTACTAGTTACAATTATAAATGCGTAATTACGCACAATGTTTGGACATATAATTATATATAGAATCGTATGTTTTTCTATATAAAATTATTGGAGAAAAAAACCAACTAGCAATTGTATACTCGCAACTGTATATTTGTTCATCTGTTTTACACTAGAGAGACTATGCAAATGTATTTTGTACTCAACACTGATGCGCATAAATATATACGTGTAATTAATATATTCAATCTTTTTTCAAGACCGATTGTGCCTCTGATAAGAAGCTTAGGAAAAGTATGGATAGAGAAGAATTGTATGATATTTTTATGAAAAAAAAAAAAAAAAAATAGTATATACTATATATACACACACATATCGCGGCCAACATTGACACGCTATTGTCTTATTATCTATACAATATATTTTTGATACCGATCGATATTTTTATCATTCGTTGCAACGTACACATAGCTCAATGAATAAACGGTGCCTTCGACTTGCCGATAAGAAGATCCCTGATGGATAATAATTAAGGGAACAAGAAATCTTGCTCTAAAAATAAATTGTATATATTACGATAGAAAAAAAAACGTACGTAGGAGATTTTAGAGAAGACGCCTGTGTGTGTGTCTTGTTATTTCACAGAACAATTACATTAGTAGTACGTGTAATATTCTATTTAATATCTAGCATGTACGTGTACAATCATGTATGTACAATCCGATGAAGGAATCGGATTGTTTCTTACACTGTCTTTTATCGGCGTCTTCGATCGGAGAACATTCTGACGCGCTTTCAACGTACGGCAACTCTCAATGTAACCAGTGATATACCAGTGAGCGCGAACATTGGACGAACACTCGCGCGCGGAATAGCTGAGAATTGTGTGTGCCTTTGAGTTCCGTAGATTGTAAGATGCGCACAGAAGAAAATGCTGTTGTATTTTAAATTTATATCAAAAAGAAGCGCGCAGCGTTTTCATTAATGTGGCCTCCGGAACGGATTGGATTTTTACTAAAGTGGCGGAGATGCGAAATGTTTAACGACACAATGTGTAATGTAATGTAATGTAATTAAATGTAATGTAATGTAATGTAACGTAAAATGTGCGAAGAGACGAGAAACGCGATGAGAGTTGTGTAATCTGTACGGTTGACAGGAGCTTCGGAGAACTCATTTTTACAGCTCGCGAAAAGCGTGTATCGTTCCATACATAGACATTCCATTGCGTATGGTGCGCCAACAATTTTTCTTCAAACTCCTTATCCCGATTTTTTCTCCACTCGCGTTATTGAGAGCTTTCAGGAGATCATTTACTAACAAAGGTAGCGTTTAATCGTGTTAATCACTAGGTGTACGTGTATTGTGATCGTTTTAAATTAAGTATTCGCGGAGACGCGGAGCTGTAGAATGGTTCTCTCTAGACTCTTATCTGCCAAAGCCAAAAGAACACTTTTTTTTAGGTAATTACGGGCGCGCAATTAAATCGTAATTAAATAGTGTGTCATTGTAAGAATTGTTGCGAGCGGGACGAGAAAGAATATATATGTATGTATGATTGCGTGCGTGTGAGAAAGACAAAAAGAGAAAGAGAGAGAAGAGAATTATAATTATTGTTGCGAGATGAAGAATAAAGTTTTGCGCGCGTGTTCTTTTTTATATGCAATAAATCGATGATTTATTTCCGCAAACGCAAAACTGACATCGTCACTGATAACGTTTATCGATCTGTTTGTAAAATCGTCGGATGTGTCTGTTTTTAAAACTTTTTTTTTTATGTATATCGAGACAGAGAAATGTAAATACTCTCTTGTTCTATCCGCTCATCTCTTATGTCTTATTGTTTAATTAAGCGCCTTTTTACATATACAATTGTCTTCTCTCATGAATTTTTGTACAAAACCCATGTTTTTACATATTTTTTATGTATTGTGTAAGTTTATATATATATATATATATACATATATATATATATAGCTATTGCTACATTTTTTATAAGTCTACTACATATACAATAATCATGTCTCTTTATCATTTTATTATTATTATTATATTATTATTATTAGATAGTGGTATACATTAATGTATTCGGTGTGTAATTTAATGTTGCATTAAGGATATGTGCAATCCTCAGTGCAACTCTGGATTATACATGTAGGCGTGTGATGGAGCTTTTTCCGGTCGTGGAGCATATCGATAAATCCAATGCAATTTTCTTCAGTTTCTGATTTTTACGAATATTCATTTCGTCAGTGCAGAACTATCTTTTTCACATTTATCTTTATTCTTAAAAATTGTATGCTGCCAAATAATGCAAATATATATGTAGAAACAGAGTATATATATATATATATACGTGTATATTTTTTAGAGACAATTACAATACTATGATTAACTTTTTTTTTGGTACACGTGAAATATTACAATTGTGAAACAGCAGTTCAAAAAAACAAAAGTACAATGTTTCTAAAACCGACCAACTGTTGCGTATAGAGGAATGAAGATCTGCAATTGATTTTTTCTTTTTTTATGGAAAAAAAGTGAGCAATATACGTAGACATGTTTAATATTGTGATTTGTTAGTAATCAATAGCGATATCATGTGTTCGAAAGATTTAAAAACAAGAAACTGCTCTCTGATTCCATATCTCATTAATTTTGTGTTATGAAAAATACTTTTAAAAACAGTATATGCTATATAAATATATATATATACATATATATATTTATATATTTATATTTTACAATAAGAGTTAGGGTTTAATGCACCGATAAATCTTGTTATTTCTTGTAACTTGTAAAAAGTACTGAATTTTATTAGTATTAACTAGTTCTGTAAGCGAACTAAGGATTTGTTCGGTCCAATATCCTACTTCCGCTATACCCATATATTTTTATAAATAAGTTATGTCTTTAAACACAGATGTAATAATAATAAAGATAATCTCTAACGTCTATAATATACAACTGTGTTGCCTCATGCATTTGTTATTCCCTGTATATCTTTTATCTTGTTTTTCTACCTTTTATAATCAAGAGACGCGGTAGCGTCTCAAGAGGAAGATTTTTATAGTAATACTTTTTCTAGAGATACGAGTTGTACGTGTACTTGGCGCCTTTTTTTGCCTTTTTTTGAAAAGGTATTTTGTTCGGATATCATACATTTTTGTAGAATATGGTTTTGACAAACACTTTTTTTACTGCAACACGATGCACTTCTTAATATTTACTTCTCATTCTATTTTTCTCTGAATTTTTATATACCTAAAAAATATTTGTTTTATTTATATATACAATATATTTTTTTTTTATATTTTTTATATTTCTTATTTAATTAAACGCAACTTTTTATATTAGCCTCTGTTGTCTCTCTATGGGCCATTCTACAATTAGTTGAAAATGTCTCGTTGCCAGTTGCGACTACTAGAAAAAAATATATTATTTTACGTGCTGCGGTTGCCAGTTGCTGTTGACAAAAGTTAAAAGTTGACCAACTTTTTTAGCAACCGCAACGACAAAGCGCAACTAGAAATAATACTTTTCTTTTCGTAATTGCTAAATAAACTAACAACGGGACATTTTCAATTCATTGTAGAATGGTCCTATGTATTATATGTCACTGCACATGCGCATAATGTTCAAAGTACATCTACTTATATCTACATATATCGTATTTTCTATCTCGCTTTCTCACATTATCTTTACAGCGTGTATATACCCAGATAGCCACCCAGATAGCCAAGTCTGTCAAAAGCAGATCATGCAAGTGTCTGCTATCACCTGTTATCAACAAAAAGGCTACAAATCTGATACAGAAGTTGTTATTATTGATTAAGTCTACAAATTGGTGCCAAAAATCGAGCAGATCTTGCTCACAAAATCTGACAGCAGATTGGCTGCAGAAACCGAGCAAGATCTGCTAACATGATTGTCGGCAGAAACCGAACAAAATCTGCGCACGCACACTCTAACGGCAGATTGGCAACAGAAACCGAGCAGAATCTGCAGCTTTTGGCGATTCACGTAAAATGATGCATTTAAAAGGCTTCAAAATGTTATTTTTATAACATAAAATAGTTAAGTCTTTTGAATTAACTATTTTTTTAGTTTAAAATAAAAAATGCAATGCAATAATTTTATTATATAATGTTACAATGATTGTATTACATATTACGCGTTTTCAATTTATCTATTAAATTA